AAAATGCCTTAGCAAAACACTAGCTTTACATGGATGGTGGTGATAGAGTTACATTGTTAAGTGTATTTAAATGAAAAGGTGAATTTAAAGCAAAACAATAAAACTGTCCTTGAGGTTGACAAACACAGCAAAAATGGCAAGTGTGCCAGAGTACAGGCAGCACTGCTCATTTGGGTCTGAGATTAAGTCCTTGGGTCAGCAGCCCTGGCACCTCCTGGGAACTTGGGATAAACTGCTGGACCCACCGTCTCTGTCCTGGAGCCACTGAGCCAGGGTCTGCATTTTAACAAAAACCCCAGGGGGTCCTTGGGCACCCTGAGGCTTGTGGAGCAGCCGTTGGGGGGGGGGGTGTGTGCTGTGCAGCTCTGAGGCCTGAAGCCCCACTTCAGCAGCAAAGAGGGTCCCAGGTCTCAGGAGAAAGTGATGGGAGACCCTCACCTCCTCAAGAGCACAGACATGCACACACATGTACACACGTGCACATACCCATCCATGCACACACATGTGCCTTAGATCCTCACACAGGCACTTACACGGAGCCCAACTCAAGGGCTCCCCCAGGCTCCCCCAAGGGCCTGGGGCAGGGAAGAGGGAGTGATCTCTCCTGCTTGGGGCTGGGGGCAGGGCCTGGGGCTCCTTCAAAAGTGTAACATGGGGGTAGGGGTGGTTAGCTCAGTGGTTAACATGCAGCTTGGGATGTCTGCATCTCATGTTGGAGTGCCTGAGTTCAAGCCCCAGCTCCACTTCAAATTCCAGCTCCCTGCGAATGCACACCAGGAAGGCAGCACATGGTGGACCAAGAACCTGGGTGCTGGGTGCCTGCCACCATAGGAGAGGTTGGGTTGAGTTCCTGGCTTTGGCCAGGCCGAGCCCTGGTTGCTGTGGGCATTTGGCAAGTGAACAAGCAGATGGGAGATCTCCCTCATTCTCCCTCCCTCTCTCTGCAGTTCAAATAAATAAAATTATCAGGGTGGAGCAGAGCGGATGGGGCTGTCGGGATTGGGTGGGGAGAAGGAGCCAATAGCTGCCCAGAATAAAAATGCACAGCATTTCCGTGAAGGTGAGAAGACTGGCTCCTGGGAGCCAGGTGTGTAGGGGTCAAATTCCTCCAGGGCCTCAGAACCCGCACTGAGGGGTTTGGACTTTACCTTGTGGGGCACTGGCAGCCATGGTGGACCCACGAGGATGAGCAGGGTGCAGGGAGCTGGCGACCTTGGCATTTGGCATGGTAAGAATCTGCACCCAGGCGCGGCCCCGGGGCCCCACATACCACTGAGTGAGGGCGGCCCCATCTTGACAGCCGCTGCGGGCATGAGCACCCTCAGGTGTGCTGGCCTCGTGACCCTCAGGGCACAGCGGCCTCGCCCCAAGCTGAGGCAGGCACAGCAGGCTCCTCCCTGGGGGAGGCCTCCTGGGAGCACTCAGGTGGGCTCTGCTGAACATGAACCCTCACTGACCTGGGGCATCAGACGCTGCAGGCGGCTCAGCCCGCTCAGACCCGCTGCCTCCCAGCAGTGGTTCCTCCAGAGGCCACTGGTGGATTTCAGGAATTTTCTGAGCTGCTTGTTACATGCAGCCCGTATTAAGAATGAGCGGCTAACTCCTCGCTCCTCACTCCTTCCTAATTATTGGCTCCACTTGACCTTAACTGGCTCTGAAGGTTCTGCTGGCTCCTGAAGCTGGGAGGTGGAAACGCGGTATCAGGTGCACTGCGGCGGCGCGTTTCTCCCCAGCGCCACCTGCGGTGCCACCCCGGGCGGCTTGGCACCGGCCACAGAGGGAGAATTGACACCAGAGAAATCGGCCAACAGCACAAATCACAGCGGGCTCTGCAGAGAGCGGGAGAGCGAGCAGTGGCCCCTCACTAATCTCCACCCTGTGCCTGCGCTCTCCCCAAGGAACCGCCCCCACCCCACCCCCTTCCCAGGCTCTTCCCCTCCACTCGGGCTGCCCCAGCAGGAGGGCAGCTGGCCTTGTCAGATTAGAGCTATCAAACAGGCTTCAGCATTTGCATTCCCTGAACCCTTTATGTGGTTATCTGCCCATTCTCCCTGTTCTCCTGTGCTGGTCCTAGATAACCCCCACCCCCACAGGGCCACACCCCTGGCCAGGCTCCCAGGCAATGTGGCAATGGGAATGGAGGGAGGTGCTGGCAGTGACAGAGAGGCCTTGCTCCATCAAACCAACTCAGGGCCTCATGGGCAAGGTGACAAGCAAGCGTCCCAGACATCTCTCCCGAGTTTCAGTCACTGTACAGTCAGGATCAACCGAACAAATGCAGCCCGCCTACTCTCACAACAGCTCAGCCACACTGAAGAGCCAGCCTTGGGGCGAGCAGGTAGGCTGGAGGTTGGAACAGCTGTGCAGTGGCTGTTCCATGCCTGGCTGTGGCTTCTGATTCCAGCAGTGATGGCCCAAGTGGCTGGGCTCCTGCCACCCACGTGGGAGACCTGGAATTGGGTCCCCAGCTCCAGGATTTGCCCCCCTTCTCCTGCAATTGTGGGCATTTGTGGTGGGAGTGGGGAACAGCGAGTAGGGTCTCTCTGTCAGTCTCTCCTACTCTGTCTCCTAAACTGGGGCTCAGGGAACCAGCACAAGGAAATGCTGGACTCTGGGCACTGCCATTGCTAGGAGAATTAAAGTCCTTTGTCAAAGGCAGGGATTGGAGGGGGAGGTAGCCCTATCTACAGATCTTTGAGACTTATTTTTAACCCAGATTTTCAGGACTATCTGAATAGTATAGTGGATAAGGGAACGCTCCTTAAACAAGACATAAGAAAAAAAAAGAGAATACTAAAGAGAAAGGTTGAGAACTTGAACTTGGTTAAAATTAAGAACTTCTCTTCTTTAACAGAAGAGAAACACCATGGATAGAATCAAAAGGTAGCCACAGAGGCCCGTGTTGTGGCACAGAGGGTTAAGCCACTGCCTATGAGGCCAGTGTCCCATAGGAGTGCCAGTTCTAGTTCCAGCTTCTCTGCTTCCGATCCGGCTTCCTGCTAATGAGTCTGGGAAAGCACTAGAGGATGGCTCCCTGTGGGAGACCAGGGTTGAATTCCAGGCTCTTGGCTTCAGCCTGGCCCAACCCGTTTGCAGAAGGAACCAGCAGATGGAAGATCTCTCTTTCTCTGTCTCTCTCTCTCTAACCTGTCTTTCAAGTAAATAAATAAACCTTCAAATAATATTAAAAAAAAAAAAAAAAGGTAGCCACAGGTGGAGGGAAGAAATGCGGAATACGAAAAACACAGGTAGCATTAGCATGTGGAAGGCTGTGCAGCCTTATTGGTACCAGGGAAATGACACAGCCACCAGCCTGGGTCAAAACTTAAAAACAGAATGACAGCGGCGCCAGCACACCGGGTTCTAGTCCCGGTCGGGGCGCCGGATTCTGTCCCGGTTGCCCCTCTTCCAGGCCAGCCCTCTGCTGTGGCCAGGGAGTGCAGTGGAGGATGGCCCAGGTGCTTGGGCCCTGCACCCCATGGGAGACCAGGAAAAGCACCTGGCTCCTGGCTCCTGCCATCGGATCAGCGCGGTGCGCTGGCCACAGCGCGCCGGCCGCGCCGGCCATTGGAGGGTGAACCAATGGCAAAAGGAAGACCTTTCTCTCTGTCTCTCTCTCTCACTGTCCACTCTGCCTGTCAAAAAAAAATAAATAAATAAAAATAAAAAAAAAAACAGAATGACAGTGGGAATATAAACTGGTAGCATCATGGAAAAACACTTTGGCAATACCTACACTAAGCTGAACAGAAGCCCCCAGCCACGAGTGCATTCACATGTTCTAGAATGTCCTGTGCTAGAATGTTCCTTAGCTCTATTCATGCTAGCCCACAGCTGGAGACGACACAAGCATCCATCAGTTTTCGGCTGGAGTATATCCATGCCGTAGAGTACTACACAGCAGTGACAAAGAACAAGCCCAGAGTGATTCCTGCCCAGAGCTGCAAGCAAATGAGGCCAGTCAGGTGCCAGCACACACGCATACCCCGGTGACTCCATTTTTGCAAAGGTCAAGCAGGCAAAACCAGCCTAGGTGCCAGGAGCCAGAGGGCACTGCTCCCTTTCGTGGGAGGCCAAGGGTAGGGAGGGAAGCACTGCTGGGAATCTGAAGCTTAGATGTCAAAATAGCTTTTCCTGCTTGCTGTGGGCTTCTCTCCGGCTAGGAGAGTCTGGTAGGAGTTTCCTGGTAGGAACCTGGTAGATTCCTGGTAGGAAGTTCCGAAACAGGGAGTGTATCTGAGGGCGCCGCCTCCTCCCGCCTCACCCCACCCTCCCCTCTCCTCTGCCACCAGCCAGGCAGGAACTTCAGGAACCTCTCCCCCACCCACCCCACCGCCATGGTGGCACCTGCGTCCAGGCTTCAAGTTCAATTCCCACTAACAACTCTGCTTTTAACCTCGCCTGACTTCTTTATTTAGCATTTTCTTATCTCTTACTACCATAGCAGGCACTGTCCCAAGGTGTCGTTAATATTAACTTCTTTAATGTGTTACCCATTCCTTCACGCACCCTGGCAGGGACTCGCAATAGCCACAACCGCTTTACTGAGCACTTACTATGTGCCCCACAGCAAGTCCAGCCCTCACTTCTCTGGGGAGCCTTCTCCTTGGGGGGAGCAGGTGTTTGTTCCCATTAGAGGCAACAGAAGCTCAGGCAGGCAGAGTGACTTGTCCAAGGCCACACAGCTCTGTTGGTGGCAGCCTAGGGACACCACGCCAGATCCTGCATTTGGTTTAGGTGTTATGCGACCACTTTCCACCAAAGCACCTTGTGGGACTGGTAGGAATAGGAGGAGCCCTGGCTCCCAACAGGGCAGAATGCATTAGAAATCACTGGCCCAGCAGGGGAGTCCTGCACTGCCCTGGTTCCCACGCCTAGGGTCCAGCTATTGGGCGGATGCAGGGAAATAGGTGTCTGATTCGCTCTCCTCTGCAGGGACAGGGGTGAGGTCCTTCCGATCTCTGGACAAAACGTCTCCTGCGGGAAGCCTTCCCGGACCACCGCTGCCCTTCCGCCCTGCCTCGGTGGATTCTCCTGCGCTCATCCAAGGGCCAGGCTGAACCTCTCGAAATTGTCCTCCCCGTAGGTCAAAGAGAGTTGAGAAGACAGCCCTTCTGCAGCCTGGTTTGCTTGTCAGCTCCGGGAGAGCGGGGGATGTCGCTGGGGGTCACAGCCACGTCCCCAAACGACGCGAGGCGCCAAGCGGGCCCTCCATAAACCACCGGCCCCGCCGAGGCCGTGCGGACGACAGCGGGTGGGCCGCGATCTCGAGCGCCTTCCTGGCGGCGGCGGCCAGGAGGGTGGGGCTCGCCATCATCCATTTACCAGCCTCGCCCCTTCGCCGGGCGCGCGGTTAATGAGATTAGCGATTAAAAAGCGGGTGTGCGGCAGCGGCGGCGGTGCGGGACCATTCAAGGCCGGGACGGGAAGGTGCGCCTGGCGGCCGCGCACCAACACCACTACGGGGGCGCCCGAGCGGGAGCCGAGCGCGCCGAGCTGGGGCCATGGAGAAGGCGCGACCGCTGTGGTCGAACCCGCTGCAGTTCGTGTTCGCCTGCATCTCCTACGCCGTGGGCCTGGGCAATGTGTGGCGCTTCCCCTATTTGTGCCAGATGTACGGCGGAGGTGAGTGCGCGCCCGGGCTCCGAGTCGCGTAACCTCCAGGCGCCGGGCGGTGCGCGCTGGGAATCGCGCCCAGGTCGCAGACCGGCACAGCGAGGCTCGCCGAGCTCAGGCATCCGCGCAAAGCCACGGGGTCCGGAACCGCTCCCAGGACGTCCGGACCCGGAGCCGGAGCCCTACCCAAGCCCGCCTCCGCTGCTCATCCTCGGGCGGCCAAGCCCCCGCCCCACGCCCCAGCTTGCCGGGCTGTCGCCTGGAGCGCGTCCGGAGGCGCGGGGCCACGGTTTTTCTCCCTTGGGAGGCGAGGTGGCAATGATCAGACTTTGAAGTGAGTAAACTTGACGCTGACCTGTGAAAAGTGAGTCGGAGATTGTCTCCTTCAGCTCAACGTCGTTATGCAACTTTCAGATCCTGGACTTAAATCCCCAAGCAGTGTGGGCTGAAACTCAAGTTAAAGGGATCCTGAGCCGTTTCTTGATCCGTTAGTAAAGAGAGCTGGTCTGGTTTGTGCCTGCAGAAGGCAGGAGAGGCCAATCAGTGTGTGTCTGTGTGATAACAGGAATTTTTCTCGGAGGCCCCATTGCACCCTCACCCTCACCGGTACGCCCTTAGCTTGCGGAGAGCTGGGAGTGGGTGTTACATGCCACCCACCTCCATGAAGGCCAGGTATCTTTTTGGAAGGCCGTGTGGCCACAGGAATTCAAGTCTTAGCATTTAAAAAAAAAAAAAAGTCTCAGTTGTTCGATTTCTAGTATTTTAGCTAAATCATCAGTGTTGTGGCAGAAGGCAAAAAACAAAGATGGTCACTGGCTTTTATTCAGAGCAGATCACTGGAAACTGCCTAAGACCTCGGCTGAGAGGGGGTGGCCTCAGTGGGCTCAGAGCCTGTGTGTAGTGGGGTGCTTTGCCGCCCTGCAGGTGGAGGCGTGGGAGTCTCTCTCTCTCTCTCTCTCTCTCTTTCTCTCTCTCTCTCGGATGCAGAGGGAGGGGAAGTGGCATGCAAGGCGGTGCTACATAGTACAACTTCAGATTCAAAGCTGTGCAGGTTAAAAATCTGCAAAGAAAAGCATTGGAAGAAATCCAGTGGTAACAGCGGTTGCCGCTGGCTGATTGTTGTGTACCTTTGTGTGTGAACATGTCTTGTACAACCAGCGTGGTTTCTCCACCATCAGGGACATGGTAGATGTTGGAGCAAAGTATTGACAAAGTTCGACTTGCATTTGAGGACCAAGCTCTCACCCTCCTCCCCTCACCCCCACCTGCCCAGTAACAGCTCAAGCAAAGGTTAATCTGAAGTTTTCTTAAATAATGCATTCTTAATTCTCCTTTTCTTATTTGCAATGCAGAAATGCGCTGTAACTAAAGCTCAGGCTGTGTGCTGTCGGGCGCTGGGCTGTAACAGCTCTGTGACTGAGTCTTGAAAGCATCCCTCTGGGCTCAGCACACCTTCCCATGACACCTTTATCCCAGGTACTGGTTGCCCAACCATCTGGCCAGGCGAGCTCAGAGTCACCTGACTCTTTGATACCTTGTTTGTAGCAACATCATTACCTGAGCCACCTGCAGGCGGGCCCAGGTGGGGCTGAGTCGTTCTGAAACAGAATATACTGCTAGCCACGGAGTTGCTAGGGAACCTCAAAACCTTCCGTATCCAGGAAAAAGAAACCTTCCAGGTGCGTGGTTCAGAGGCTGCTTTGGCTGGCTGACTGCAAAGGTACATTGAGTGGCAGGGATCGGGGACAGGTATGGCTATAGGTCAGGTGGATGGCACCATCCTAGGCAATCGAAAGATCAAACAGTTCATCCTGGGACAGAAGGCACTTGACTGCCTGCACCTGCGCAGTATCTCCATCTCACTCCCTGGTGCTCCCTGCCCCTCCCCTGACTCTCAGGAACAGGTGTGTGTCCCGGCACCACTGCCTCTCTGCCTCGACCCTGCCCAGACATTTCCTCCACCTGGGCTGCTGCCTGGACTGGGAGAACACCCACGTGTGCACCCCAGCAGACAAAGGGCTTGTTTGCAAACCACAGAGCTCGGCTCTGCCAAAATACTTGCCAGAATCAAGTGGATTAAGTGCTGGTGCGGACTCCGGAGTGACTGGGGGGTTTGTTTCCTGCCTGCTCTTGGGGCCAGGCCCAGCACGAGGAATGTTAATGCTGAAGATTATGGCCTAGGCACTGATCCGCTCTGCACAACTCTGGCCACCTGGGCCAGAGACACGGAGGCAGCAGAAGGAACCCACAGAATTGCCTTGTGAAAAAGTCAGCAGGGCCCTGGGGACCACGTGAAAGTCAAGGGCACTGGCTGGGAAGAAAGCAGGGAGCGTGAATGTCCCTGTCCCCAGTGTGAAGAACAAATGCACCCGCAATTTACTCTGCACGGGCAGCTGAGCACAATGGTGTGGCTGGAGGGAGGAGTTGGGTGGTTTGTTTTCCTTTATTTTCTTCTGTGTGATTTTGGAACAGTAAAACAAGTGACCTCAGGGAGCACCTGATTACACAGTGGGACGGCGACACTCACAGCCTGCGTGTCCCCATCCCCCTCAAAGCACCGGCTCCTGTCTGGGACCGGAAGCCAGCTCTTCCAGTCCTCTCTGCTGCCCCACATCTTGCACTGTAACCTCACATCAGGGTAAACTACAGGTCTGCCAGGGGAGGGTGGGGTTCTGCCTGTCCAACAAACCCCAGTGTGGGACGGGCAGGGGAGGGGAACACCTTAGTTTGCAGCATTTGCTGGTCATCAGTGTGAATACTCCCCCTGTGGCAGGTTTCAGACCGCTGCTGGATTGTCCCAGAATGTGGGGTTGGGGAAAGATGGACACATCTGGCTTCTGTGACCTGGTCTGCGCCAGTCCCAGAACCACTGGAGCCAAGAGCCGTGCAAGCCGCAGCTCTCAGGCCAGCACCCAGCCCCATCAGCACAGGAATGGACAGGTAAACAGGACCGCAGTGTCCACCTGCAAGGTGCATCACGTGTGGGACCTCTCAGGCTCTGGCTCAGGCTGTTTGTACGGACCCCGAGGTGGACAGAACCCGGGTTTCAGAGGTTGGAAAGTGCCACCCACATACAGTTGCCAAAGTGAGCTTGAGATGCTGGACCCCGGCAGTCAGGAAATGCCAGTGCCAGGGGCCTTGAGAGGCCTGGGTCTCAACTCGGTGCTGGCAGCAGCCGCTCTGTCCGGTCCTGATGTGAGCCGGGCACGGGGTGGAGCATTTTCTGCAAGCATTGTTTTGTCTGCATGGGACTCCTGTGCGCGATCCTGTCCCCCTCAATGACGCATGGGAAACCAATTCAGACAAGAACAGGTGGCTTCTGGGGCAGGGCTGGAGCCCCTTTGGTGTCCAGGCCCGGGCTTCCTGCCCTGGAACCGGTGCGTTGAGTCTGACAAAGGCAGATTGAGGGCAGCTACCTCCTTTGTCCAGGTCTTCTCCCAGTATCCCCAGCCAGGGTGCTTCCTTCCATGGTTCTGATTCGAATCTCAGCCCCAGCTTCACCTTGACATTGGAGGAGCCCTGGCCAAGGGCCTATGTATGTGCCATGTGTCCTTCTGTAATTGTCCCTGTCCCTTCCGGTCCAGTGTCTCTGCTGTGCCCAGAGTAGCCCCGGCAATGTCTATGGTCCTCTGTCCCAAAACTAAAGGCCTCCTCTTCCGTGCAGCCCTCCTTGGGCTCCCCAGGGAGGCTGTCCGTCCCGTTCAGTGCATCGTGGGGTCTGATTGCGTCACCCCACTCGATGAGGAGGGGAAGCAACCAGTCAAGAATGCAGTGTCCATGCACGGGTGGCCCAGTCTCCAGCACCAGTGCCTGTGTCCCAACCCCAGAAATCCCAACTGGGCTCGTCTCAGTGTGGCTCGAACAGCAGATGTTTTAAAGCTCCCCAGGGAATTCTGTGCTGCCCAGTAGTGAACCCTAATCTTAGTCCTATTAATAACAGGAAGGCACAGAGGACAATTTAAAAATCAATACTGTTGGGGCCACCGTTGTGGCATAGCCAATAAAGCCACTCCCTGCAATGTTGGCATCCCCTCTGGGCACCTGTTCAGGTCCTGGCCACTCCACTTCTGATCCAGTTCTCTGCTAATGTGCCTGGGAAAGCAGTGGAGGATGGTCCAAGTGCTTTGGCCCCTGCACCCACATGGGAGACCCAGAAGAAACTCCTGGCTCCTGGCTTTGCATAGGCACAGCTCTGGCTGTTGTGGCCATCTGGGGAGTGAACCAGCGGATGTGAGATTTCTCTCTCTTTCTCTCTGTGTAACTCTTTCAAATAAATAAACAAATCTTTAAAATAAAGTGTCTTGCTAAAATAAACACTGTGAACCTTCCAGGCACTTGCTTTAAGTCAGTGAGTCTTGTAACAAGCCAGGGACTGTGCTGGGAGCTGTGACTCCCCAAGGGAGGGAGGGCACACACCCCTTCTGCACCGGGCAGCAAGAGCTTGGACAAACGGCTGCTCGGAAGCCTTGCTGAAACTATCCAGGAAACTATCCGAAAGCTCCCCGCGATGGCAGCGTTGAATCAGCCTTGCCTGACGACCAAAGCTCACCAGGCAGAGTTAGAGGGAAAAACACCGCAGGCAGAGGGGACCGTGTGTGCAGAAGGGGCAGCAGCGCAGGGCAAAGGCTGAACAGGATGCGGGCAGGGCTGGGGCGCCGTGGGAGAGGGAGCTGGCTGGTCCGGAGTGACAGCCGCATCCAAGGCTCAGGCGTGGTCCGAGCTGTGGGTTACAGAGATGGCCAGGATGGAGGCCAGGGATGGGTCGGGCAGCGGGTGAAGTGATGCTGCTGCTGGCAGGGCTGGGCAAAGCAAAGGCGAGGCATCATGGAAGCTTTGGACCACAGCGGGGCACAGAGAGGAAGGAGGACCTTGATTTCACCTGTGCCTTGGCTTTTTGCTTGCTACATATTGTCCGGTTTTGACTCCAGATAGGAATATTCTCAGAAAGGCCAAGGTGGGGGGACTTGGGGCTGTCCCGTGGAGGACAGCAGTGGTGCTCAGAGTGCAGC